GGGGCCGACGACGGGGAACTAGGAGGCGGGACCAGGGAAGTCTTGGGGGCCGGCAACGGGGAACCAGGAGATGGCAACAGGAAACCCTGGGGATCGTGGGCTTTGGAGAAGGAGGATGAGGAAGGGACTTCAGCGGACGAGGAAGGGTCTCTGGAGACAGGGATTGAGACTGGAACACTTGGGACCTGAGAGACTGAAACACTTGGGACTCAAGAGACTGGAACACAGGGATCTCTTGAGACTGGAACGCTTGAGACTGGAACACAGAGGACTCTTGACACTGAAACACAGAGGACTTTTGAAACTGGAACACTTGAAACTGAAACACAGGGGACTCTTGAGACTGGAACACTTGAGACTGGGACACTTGAGACTGGAACACAGGGGACTCTTGAGACTGGAACACTTGGGACTGGAACACTTGTGGAGACTGGGACACTTGTGGAGACTGGAACACTTGTGGGGACTGGAACACTTGTGGGAACGTCGAGACTTGAGACGGGGACGTCGAGACTTGAGACGGGGAGGCATCTACTTCAGAGCTGGAGCTGGAGACGTCTACTTCAGAGCTGGAGCTGGAGACGTCTACTTCAGAGCTGGAGACATCTACTTCAGAGCTGGAGACGCCTACTTCAGAACTGGAGACGTCTTCTTCAGAGCCGGAGCTGTCTTCTTCAGAGCTGGAACCATCTACTTCTGTCGACTTCGAGACAGGAGACGGGGAGACGTCTACTTCAGAGCTGGAGCTGGAAACGTCTACTTCAGAGCTGGAGACGTCTACTTCAGAGCTGGAGACGCCTACTTCAGAGCTGGAGACACCTACTTCAGAGCTGGAGACGCCTACTTCTGTCGACTTCGAGACAGGAGGCGTCGACTTCGAGACAGGAGGCGTCGACTTCGAGACAGGAGGCGTCGACTTCGAGACAGGAGGCGTCGACTTCGAGACAGGAGGCATCGACTTCGAGACAGGAGGCGTCGACTTCGAGACAGGAGGCGTTGACTTCGAGACAGGGGGTGTCGACTTCGAGACAGGAGGTGTCAACTTCTGGCCTGGGGGCGTCGACTTCTGGCCTGGGGGCGTCGACCCTTGGCCTGGAGGCGTCGACCCTTGGCCTGGAGGCATCAACCCTTGGCCTGGAGGCGTCGACCCTTGGACTGGAGGCGTCGACCCTTGGACTGGAGGCGTTGACTTCTGGCCTGGAGGCGCTGGACTGGGCGGAGCCTCTTGGACAGGCTGGGCCGGGAGCGGAGCCTCGTGGACGGGCTGGACCGGAGCTTCTTGGACGGGCTGGACCGGAGCCTCTTGGACGGGCTGGACCGGAGCCTCCCGGACGGGCTGGACCGGAGTCTCCCGGACGGGCTGGACCGGAGCCTCTTGGAAGGGCTGGAGCGGAGCCTCTTGGAAGGGCTGGACCGGAGCCTCTTGGAAGGGCTGGACCAGAGTCTCTTGGAAAGGCTGGACCGGAGCCTCTTGGAAGGGCTGGACCGGAACCTCTTGGAAAGGCTGGACCGGATGCGGTGCGTCCTCCGGGACCACCACCGAGACAGGGTGCGATGCGTCCTCCGGGACCACCGCTGGAAAGGGACACGGTGCGACCTCCGGGACCACCGCTGGAACTGGATAAGGTGAAGGAAGGTGGAGCTCAGACTTGGACTGCAGAACTGGGACCTCTTGGACAGGCTGAACAGCTCGGGTCTCCGGGATGAGGAGGAGATCGGGCTGAGCTGGAGATGGTGGCGAGTGGAGCTTGGGCTGAGGTGTAAGTGCAGGAGACACGTGAACTGTCGGTGATGCTCTGGCCCCAGAAGACCTCTGATGGCGGCTGCGGCATCGTCGACGTGGCTTTTTTTTGTGTCAACAGAGGTGGGGAGATGGCAGAAACGGAAGATGAGGAGGAATAACAACCCACCAGGAATGAAGAGGCGGCGTTGTCGGGAACAGGTGAGAGTGTGGTGGTTTGGCCCATCAGAGGTGTTGAGATGGCGCCAACAGGTTCAGGGGAGAAGGAGATGAAGCCCGTTCTGAGAGTTTGGACCGGGGCAGGAACGGACTGAAGTCTCGGAACAGAAGGAGGAGACTTGGAGGAGGGTCACGGCCAAAAGCTTGTAGCAACTTCTTGGCAAAGTCCCAAAAAGACACGGTCTCGATTGGGTGGACCTCTAGGTAGTCTGCTGCCCAATCCAGAGGTCCATCCCTTAAATAAAGCACCATGAAGGAGACTTTATTGAACTCTGAGGAAGTCATGTCCAGGCTATGGGCACAGTCCTGAATAAAGCCCCAACAGGTGTCCGGGTCTCCATGGTAAGTGTACATAACCTGGGATATTGGTGAAGCTGGAGGTTCTGCTGGGTCCTGGTATGGTTGGTTCATTCTGTCACGTTGAGAGGACTGTTTGGACCCAAAATGCAGATACCCAGGATGACACGAGGCAGGAGTTGATATAAAGAAAATCCTTTTATTGTAGGATGAGTCCAAAAATAAAAATAAATCCAAAAGGCAGGGAGCCAAAATCCTAAAATCTGAAAAATGATCAGGAGATCCAAAAACACCAGAAGAATGGGCAGACTGAAAGAACAAATCACTTTGACAAACAACAATGAACCGACAAGACAATGAGAAACAGACAGGGCTTTATAGACTGGGGCATGATGGGAGGCATATGAGCTGCAGGTGTGAGGAGAGAACCAGGTGAAGGCAATAACTAATCAGGGAGGAGGAGCAGGAAGGAGCAGGGGAGGACACCAGACCTGACTGGAGAAGAACACACACACACACAGCTGGAGAAGGACACACACACACACACACACACACACACACACACACACACACACACACACACACACACACACACACACACACACACACACACACACACACACACACACACACAAGTTGGGGAATGACACACACACACACCGAGATGGGGACAAAGAGGCTTGAGCTACAACTGGAGGGGCTGGGGATGACCTGAAAGGCTACAAACAGAAAACACATAAATGAGACGCAGACAAAGGACACATGAGGGCGCTATGAGACACAAAAGAGAAATCTAAAGAGGGATGGAGGACATCAGGAGACACATGGGGAAAGACGCAGACACAGACCATGACAGTCTTATTGCAGAGTTTGCATGGGATTTCTTAAACGACTCCACATTTAAGTCCCGCTGATATTTTGTCTTGATGCTGTTTCTCTTTATAATTTTTAGTCAGTTTATTATTATTCTGCTGCCGTACATTTTTGGCATTTAACTACTTCCACAATTCTTCAACTATTTACACAATTTTGGTATGAAAACGTTCAGCTTGTTCGGCTTATGTCGGCAATGACTTTTGATATTAAAATATTTTATACTTTTTGAGATATTCATTTTTTTCTGCGATTTTTGGTCCCATTGAAATGAATGGGATTGCACAATTTTCAGCTAAATCCTATCACTTTTTGAACTCTACCTCTTATAGTTTAACTTTAACCGAGAGACTTCATTCAAGTTTCAACAAACTCACAAGACTTTCAGCTATTACTGGTCAAAAATCATTTTACGTATCTATAACAGTTTTTCTAAAATCACAGGTAGAAGTTGAGGTACGGCTTGAGATTTTCAGAAAATATCACAAAAATTATAATGGGGAAAAATAGGAGCGGTGACCCTCCCTTGCTCCATTTCTGGGAAAGTCCCGAGAGAACCGTAGATCCGATTGAAATGAGACACACGCTGGCTTACAGCTTACGAATATACCTTCGTTTTGAGCTATAAATCATGAATGTACTGCAAACATTGTGGCCGTAGGGTTCATTTGTCTGAGAACATTTAGATTTTAAAAAATGCTTCTCGCCACTCTAAACTGAAAATTCCACACTCTTAACTTTTGACCTTCACATTTTCTGGAAACAACTCTTTCCAACACCCAGACCGTTTGGAGTACCGAAACAAATGATATCTAAAAAAAAATATTTAAAAAAATCAGCTTGTCAGAATGGGTTTTATTTTGTCCTTAAAGAGCGGGTCAAGTGTGCCTCGGAGTACTTCTCCACCCACGTATCAATTTTAAAAAATGCAACATTAGTAGGCGTTGCCTGGAGGACCAAGAGGGCGGAGCCACGGCAGTGACGAAGACGATGGCTAACTAGACGATGCTAGCTCCCTTCACTCTGAGCAGTTATTAGAAGTGGAGGACGTTTCTCCCCCTCCTTACCCAGACACTCGAGAAGAAAGGGACCAAGTCTATTTGGAGGAGAAAAGCGGACCTGAGCCTTATTGTTTTGAGCTTGTGAGTTGCCTGAAATTACCAGAACCGACCCAACAGAACCAGCTCTGAATGGTAAGTAGCCGTTAGCCATAGCATTGGATTAGCTGCAGGGTTTGGCTCCACGGCCCTAAAAAGCTAGTATTCAGCATGTTTTAGAGGTTTATCTGCTTCACCACACCTGGTTTTAATCAGCAACAAATAGCTGAGCTGCTTAACAGCTAATCTAACCTGTTAAAGCAGGAAAACCACTGAAACGTGCTGGATAGCAGCTCTCCGGTAGCCCTGGGCTCAAGTTACAGTCTGCTGCATAGAAAGTTATGAAAATACCCCATGAGAAAATTATTCTGTAATGTGTTCAGCTCACTAAAACTGCTCTGATTTATTTATTTACTGATACCAGCTGCTCTCTTGGTTCTAGGTCCTCTGGTGTCTGCAGGTGGTCTCCTCTGCTGGTGTCGTCAGGATCAGGAGCTTCCAGAAGAATGTGCCTTTCAATGACTCTTTCCCCCTTATTTGTTATATTAATTAAATAAATCTCAATTTATATATTTCCTGTTTTTGTTCATGTCCATAAATACTTAAACATGCTTGAAATTAAAATGAGCTTTTAACAGTGAGGTGCTAGTTTAATTCATCACAATAGAGCTAGTTAAACATGCAACAAAAATGTGATAATAAATGTAATTTATAAATATCCATTAAAATATCAAAACTGGAATCAAAATGAGACATTTGGCAGCACAAAAAACTTGTCAAACACAATATTTATTATAATAATTGTAGGCAGACAGGAGACAGAGCTGATGGAGGTTCTCAGTCATCGAAGGATGGCTGAAGGCTTTCCAGGAACAGGAGATGTGGTGTTGTCTCTTCTCTCTCTATTCTGCCAGATGAGCTGATAGGTTACAGGTGTGTGAGGACATCCTCATGCTGTCACGACCAGATAACATGAGTTATCAGGTGATCAGCCAGGCTAATGATGAGATGCAGAAAGAAAACAAATCCAGGACAGTGTACAGTAATAACAATAATATGTGGTTTTGCTCACCTTATGTGCTCTTATAGAGTATTAACGTGTGCCTGCCTCATGGTGTAGCGTCCATATTTTGCTGAGTGTCCTGCAATAATGCAGGTTATTAGTTAATTTACTTTTGATAGCAAAAACAAAATATTTAATGTAAAAGTTATTTACCAGGTGAATCAGCTCACACGTCACCACCAAGTGTCACAGGGCCAGAATCAGTAGCCTCCTTCATGATGTCATGATGTAATCACATACTTATTTATTTGTTAATATCTTACAAATTCTGAAATGTTTTAATTTTTTTTTTACCTTGAACAGTTCACTGAGCTTGCACTGTCACTGAGGTGGAAGCTGGAATCAACAGCAGACACCTCACATCTTGGTCTTTTCAGGGGGTGTGAACGCAGCTCTGGGACTTTCTGGAAGATGAATTTCCGTCATGGTCCCCGTGGGTCACCAGACACACTGCGGCTGTGAGCTCTATAAAAAAAAAGAAGCAGCACATTTATAAATGTTTAAAAGAGCATAAAATCACATGTAACAAAAATCTGTAAAACAAATTAAAACTAGAAGGTAATAATAAAATGTTTACATAGAAGATTATTAAAAATGATTCACCTTTGCTACGGGTAAGGCTTCACGTCAGCCTGGACAAGTGCATTCTTGCAGCTAAATCAGTCTGACAGCCAGTGTCTTGGGCAGATTTAGCCTGAAAAAAAATAGAAGCACATTGTTGTTGGAGTTTATAAAGTCAGATAATATACAAAAGAAACTGTCCTATATAGGCGCTTTATAACATTCCTAGTGTGTGATTGTTGTTATAACGTAAAAGTCAGTCACATATGATGTGGAGAGCCTGAAATGCGACCTCCTGAACAGAATTCCTTACAGAACCGGGTCCCAAGCTGGATTTCACGCTGTAATGCTGTCTGTCAACTAGTGCTGCGTCACTAGAGCCACTGTTGCAGAATTGCAGACTGACTAGCTAAAGGAAGTGAACCACGTCTCTCAGACTTTGCATTCAGGTAGGGAATTGTCTTTAGAAGATGTTAAAAAGTTTATTTAGCGTACTCACCTCAGACTGGAACCCGCCGTGGTGGGGGAGCAGAGTCGGTGGGCTGCATCTAAATCACGGAAGAGCCACGGTGGGCACAGCCTCCCTCTTCAAACGGAGAGTGCAGAATCGCGTGTAAAATGCCCACAGAGTCACCGCAACCATACTACACTACACCTTCACCATACTAACACGATATGGAGCACTAAACCTGAACTACTTTCCTAATAACACTAACAGCCAAACACTAACTAAACTACAATATCCAAAAGCCAAACTAACACTAAATAAGTATGTATAACACAAAAAGCTACGCTAAAGACTAGGATATGCTAATGCTATATGCTAATGCTGAACTACGGCTAACCTCCTACACTCGCTTGCAAACCCAACTCCCAACTCGCCACAAGGCGTGGCCGAGACACTCAATGCTTTTATAACTTTGACACAGAGCTGCTACGTAGTACTCTACTGGTTTACGTAGTATCTTACTCTTTAGCCATTGGCTAAAATTTATTCAAAATGACTCAAACTCTATGTTTTAAGCTGAAGGTGGCGCTATACTGTGGTATTTAGGCAGAATTTTTAATTTTTAAAGAAAATGCACCGAAAGGCTAAAATAAAGAATGCACACATTTAAAACACTATTAGACACTCATTTATACAGTTCATCAGCAAAAAAAGTTAATTTAGACATTACTTGCTCTTTAAGTGATACGGTTCTTTCTCTACAAACCTCAGAAAGAGGAGAGACCTGATTCTGTCTCATTGAAACCCATGTTAAAGGAACAGAGATTTTCTCCTCCGATCGGCTTCAGACAGCTAAAATATTCTCGTCATAGCTTCTAGAAAATTCATGGTAGGTACATAAAAATTCACACAGATGATCATCAAAGCCTTCTGCCGCTCACACTTTTTGAAATTTTCAAATCGGTGCAGTACTTTTCGAATGGTGATGAGAAGTTTGACAGGTCCATTTTCACTTCTGAAGGACAGATTTACAGGCTTCTCTCATTAACAGGAGTACAGCTGCAGGCCTCCAACAGCCAGGGGAAAAGGCTGGAAAACAGTGCTGCTCTCTGATTGGTTGAGAGTGTTCAACCATTTTCTGTCCAAGCAGGATCTAGCACCCACACATATGACACATCAAATCGACCAGCTTTGTCTCAGGAATCTTGTATTCCATTTTAAATTCATTATCTGTTACCATGGTAACACAAGTGCATAAGTATATCCCCAAACAAGTCTTATTGAAATAAATGTGAAAAGCCTAATATTGAGCCTATAGAGCTCCGGGAGTTGACGTCACTTTTCCCGGCATGCAACAGTTCAAATCGAAACAGCGCCATATTGGCAGGCAGAAGGCCGCAGCTGGACTATTTGTTATTGTCAGAAAACTCAATCAGACAGGGAATATGGTAGATTCCTGTTGTGCCCCAGGATGCAGAACAGACGCGGACGACATAAGGAATGAGCCATCTACAGGATTCCCCAAGATCCGGAGCGCCGCAAACGTTGGATCATTGTAATAAAACGCGCTAGTGACCGGGCTAAAATGAAGCTGTGGGATCCTGAGAGTAAAGGTTTTTGCTTATGCAGCGACCACTTCATATCAGGTACTTAAACCAACGTTTCCTCAACTGTGTATGGTATTTATGTTAAATGCTTTTATTACGATTCTTAGTGAGCTTCCTAAACTTATTTTGGCGTGGCTTTTTCCATCTTATTACTCACAGCAACAAGTAAACATCACGTAAAACGTTGCCTCGCGTTTCTGCGTGCTGCCGTTTACGTGTTTTAGGATCACAGCCATTAACCGACTAAGCTGTATTTAATTTTTAAGCAGTGGTTGATCAATTGTCAGATCACACATAAAAAGCACTTTGGATTGCTGTTATCTGTCTCACCGAGACAGATCTCAGACAGATCCTGAGACGCTCCTGCCTGACATATTTATTTTATTCACGGAAACAAATCAGATTTGTGATTTCTCTTGGCGTTCAGTTTATACATTCAAAGAGCACAGTGCTCTATTTAAACTACTTACGTGTAAATCTGTTATTTGACCATCCATTTTCATCCGCTTATCCGGAGTCGGGGCAGTAGCGTCGAGAGGCCCAGACTTCCCTCTCCCCAGCCACTTCGGCAAGCATCCTCCAGGGAAATCCCAAGGGGTTCCCCGGCCAGGTCGGGTAAGAAGTCCGCTCTGACAGCTTCTGGCGTTTTTAAAAAGTATCCCAGGGGCACGGTAAGGGTCGGAGATGTTTAGTCTATTTAATTTCTGACTATATAAGACAATTTCTTCGGTTTTAAAGTGTGAAGAAAACTCCGACGAAATAAAATCCAAGCGGATCCCATTCATGTTCATGTTTACGATCCGTGTTTGTTTACCTTTTTTTTCCTGCCAATATGGCGTCTACTAACTGAGAGTCATGTGGGGTCCGGAGCTCTATAACATACTGCTGTTTCTTATCTTTCTGAGCTCTATACACTTAAAACTAGCAGCATAGCTGACATTTTAACACTAGTCAGAAGGCAGGAACCGCCCCCTCCTCCTTCGCTGCTCTCTCATTGGCAGAGAGTTTTCAATCATCTTCTGCTTAAAAGGAAATATGCACCCACACATATGATACATCAATTCAAACTGCTTGGTCCCAGGAGTCTTGTATTAACTAGATATTGTGTTCTGCGTTACCATGGCAACGTGCTTAGCAACAACATTTAACAACATTTTAGACACAACTGTATCCGCATACTTTAATATAGAAATGTTATTCAAAGTTTAAAAGAGTCATGTGTTATTGTACATTGCTTTGTTAATGCAGACTCCTGTCATCTGTTACCATGGCAACACAAGTAACTACAAATCACTTTAACCAAGTCTCATAGGAATGAATATAAAAAGCAGAATATTGAGCCATTAACAGACTCCTGTTTTTGATCTTTTTGAACTGTTTGTACTTAAAACTAGAAATAAGTTCAACATGATTGACCATCAGAAGGTGGGAAAGTGCCCCTCTCCCTCCCAGCTCCCTGATTGGTTGAGAGAGGTCAATCATCTTCTGGCTAAATGGACTTACACACCCACGCATGTGAGACATCAAATCGATCAGCTTGGCCTAAGGAATCCATCCATCTACATATAAATCCATCCATGCTTCTATTCGTCCATCCATCCATCCATCCATCCGTCCATCCATCCGTCCAATAAACCATCTAACATCCATCCAACAATCCATCCGTCATTTCATCATCCAACCATTCATCCATCCCATATCAAATCTAAACATATGTTAATCTATCAGTTTCAGATATCAGCAAATATTTCTAAATTCACAGTTCAGCCAATTGCAAAAATGTACCCATTTAACTATTGTCATTCAAATGCCAGCTGTTCAACATTTCAAATTTTGAGTTTTTAATCAATGTTCAAAGATTAAAGTTTTCTGCTGTTTAGCATTTTTTTTCCATTCTTCACCTATATTCTGAGCTTTATTATACTTGTTGGTGATTTTTGCTTCTAAATGTTTAAATACATTCAGCTCATTTTAACAGTTTAGCTTAGTTTCAGCTTCTGCAATTAGTTTCTGAATTCAGCATATGCTGCTAATTTCACAGTTCAGCTAAATGTAAAAATTAAACTGTTAAACTAGTCCTACTGAAATAACAGGTGTTTAGACAGTTTTTTAAACAATGTTCACATATTTCAACTTTCTGCTGTTTAGGATTAGTTTTCTTGATTCTTCACTTACTTACTTTTTGTGCTTTATTTGCTTGTTGGTGCTTTCTGCTTTCACATCTTTCACAACATTCAGCTCATTTCCCAGTTTAGCTTAGTTTCAGCTTCAGTTCAGCTATTCAACAACTTCAGCAGTCAGTTACCAAATTTAGCATAAACTGCTAATTTCACATTTCAGCTAAATGTAAAGATTAAACTGTTAAACTTGTCCCACAGAAATAACAGGTGTTTAGACACTTTAGCTGTCCAGATTTGTATGCAATGTTCACAGATTTCAGTTTTTTGCGTTTTAGGATTATTTTTCTCCATTCTTCACTTACTTTTTGTGCTTTATTTGCTCATTAGTAATTTTTGCTTCTACATATTTGAACACTCATTTTGAAAGTTTTGCGTACTTTCAGCTTCAGGTCAGCTATTAAGCTGATTCAGCTAATAGTTTAAGCTATCCAGCATTCAAACAGCATTGCTGCAAGAAATGCAA